CTTTTGAACTGAGTAGTTCAAGTGCCTTCCAAGAGGGTATTTAAGAGTCATCCATGTTGTTACAAGTTTTGAGTCACATTTAGGCTAGACTTATTTCTCCAAAGGAAGTGAACCAGTTTGGTTTTAACAACAAACAAAGAGTTGTTTTTATTCATTCACGGGTTGAAGGTGTCACTGGCTAGGCCAGCATTTATTGTCCATCCCTAATTGCCCAGAGGGTCTGGAGTTACATGTAAACCAGACCAGGTAAGGTCGGCAATTTCCCTAAGGGACATTTGAGAATGAGTTGGGTTTTTCAAACAATTGACAATGGATTTGCGGTCATCATTAGACTCTTAATTCCAGATTTTTATTGATTTTACATTCCACCATCTGCTATAGTGGGGTTTGAACCCATGTCTCCAGAACATTACCTGAGTCTCTAGATTAACAATTCAGCAATATCATCACTAGGCCATCACCTCCCTTTGAAGTGGTTATAATGGTCACTGGTGCTATTTATCTGTGAGAATTGTTAACTGGATTTAAATTCCAGCAGCTGCTGTGATGGGATTTGACCTCATGTCCCAACAGCATTAGCTTGGGACTCTAATTATTAGCCTAGTGACATTGCCAAAACCATCTCCTCCAAATTTAAATCTAACTTTTAAGTTAACCATGAGCAAAACTATTCAGAATTGTAAGGATCCACAAAAGTACCAGCTGAAATAGTAAGAATTTTGTAGGATAATGTAAAATCTGATAAAGCCATCATCAAAGAAAGGTTCACATGTTCAAGTATTCATCCACAACAAAGAAAAAAATGCATTCAAATCTGAATATTGACCATTCCTTGTATATTGTTGTGTACATGCAAAAGTACAGTTGACCACTTTATAATATACCCTCCCTAACAAAGTGAAGGACTCTTGTGATCTACTGTATTAAAAGTATTTCTTGATTGTTTATTGGATGTCAGCATAGCTCACAAGGACAATGTTGATTGGCCATTCCTAACTATCATTGAACTGAGAAGTTCATAGAATCGTAGAATCCCTACAGTGCGGAAAGAGGCCATTTGTCCCTCTGAAGAGCATCCCACCTCAACCTTCACCTATCCCCATAACCCCATATTTCCTATGTCTAACCCAGAGAGCCTGCACATCCCTGGACACTACAGACAATTTATCATGGCCAATCCACCTAAGCTGTACATCTTTGGACCCAGGTTCAACTAGGCCATTTCAGAAGACAGTTAAGAACTAATCACATTACTATTGGTCATATTAGGCATGACCAGGTAAAAACAGCATATTTATTTACCTGAATGACATTAGTGAATGAGATGGATTTTTTTTTTATAAAAGACAATCAATGGTACCTTTTATTTAGTTATGTCTTATGTTCAGAGACATGCTCATAGCATCATCAAATGTATCAAGCATTTGACCTGGGGATATAAAGAACCCATGCTCTATCTTAACTCAGACCACTTGAAGCATGGCCATCACTGGAAATCTTCTGTTGTCACCGAATATTTTAATACTAGCCCAGGCACTACATTGTCCATGAATGTAACATTCATATATGTTAGTAAGATGTAATAAATGTCTGTTGGATCTTTCAATACCCCATTACCTAAGAGATAACATAAGCATTGCTGCATCAGTTAAAACAAGCTACTGGAGACAAAACCCTCCAGTGACTACTATTGAGATCAGCTTTCAATTCCAAGTTTCTATCAACTGAATTTAAATTCCACCAGCTGTCACGACGGGATTTGAACTCATGTCCTTGGATCATTAGGATAGGTCTTTGCATTACTTTTGCAGTGGCAGTACCACAATGCCACAATCGCTGCTGTAACATAGTACAGTTCTTTATTGTTACAAGTTTTCTGCCGACTAATTTAAAAACAATGGAAAGTTCAATATAAAATGTGGCATACCACCAAAATGTATTGGAGGACAAGTTCACCCCTGATTTTCCCTTATTAAGAGCAGTTTTGTTTATTTGATGCTGTCAGAATAACAGAAGACTTTCAGCTTACCACATGAAACAGGAATTCACATTATAACCACAGACTCCTGACATGCCCTCCTACACATCCTCCTCAAAGCATCCAAATTACTAATCTACAAGAGTTCCTAACAAATACAAATATCAAGTAAGGGCAGAAAAACAAAAATAAAACTTGTGAAAGAAGCAGCAAGAAAAAAGAAAATGTTCATTAGCAGTAATTGCCAGGCTTCTCACTGAAATCCACCTTTGGGCAATTGGCAATATTCCTAAGTTCAAAACTTTCAACCACCTACCAGCAAAACAAGCTGAATAAAATCCAATCATGCACAAGGTTACACGATAGAATTACAGACGGTCACAGAAGTAAAGGAAGCCATTTGGTCCGTCATGTTCATTCTGACTCCCTGTAAGACCAGTTCACCTTATGCTGCTCTTTGGCCCAGAGCCCAGGAAGATCCTTTCTTTTCAGACAATGATCCTCTTCTATTTTGAAATTCTCAATTGACTCTGCTTCCAACACACTCTCAGGCAGTGCATTCCAAGTCCTATTCACTCACTATGCAAGAAAGGTTTTCCTCAATGCCACCATTGCTTCTGTTGCTAATTAACTCAAAGCTGTGCCTTCAGGGTCTTGATTCTTATATGAGTGGGAACAAACACTCTTAATTTTCTCTGTTCTGCCTTCCCATGATTTCTTCTTCCCTTCTTCACCTTCTCATCTTCAAGGTGAGTGGTCACAACTTCCCCAATCTTGCTATGCCATTACAAATTCTTCATCCCTGAATGCATTCTCATAAGCATTTTCTGCCCTTCATTGCTGCCTTCAGATTGTTCCTAAAGTGTGGCATCCAGAACAGGACACAGTACTCCAGTTGCGGTTAAATAAATATTTTATACAACATAATCCCTCCAGCATTGCCATATTTCAGCAAATAGATTCTGCACTGGTAAGCCCATCCACCGTCCCTAATTGGATGGCGCTCCTGGAGTTGGATGCTTAATTGGTGTCTCCTCAAAAAATGTCACCCTTGAGTCCTCATGCCACACATAAGTGTTCCCACCTTGTATTTCTTCCTGATGTTAGCACTGGACCCACATATTAGGAAACAATCAATTCTTTATGTCTTGTGAGAACTTGCAGGTCTTACAAATGTTTTCTTGGATTTTTTAAGCAGCTTTAGAACTCAAAGATCCAGAATATAAAGATGCAGCGATTTTTCCAGCCCAGGAAAAGATATAAGTTTTTTTTAGGATTAACAGGAAGAAGATCTTGAAGTGCATGGGGTAGTGTCCCTGCCTCTAAGCCAGAACATTGGGTTCAAGTCATACTCCCGGGCATTTTCCTTCTTCGTTGTTTGCCACTGGCAAATGAGGATTTGTTGCCTATGTCCAAATGGTCTTAAACTGAGTAGCTTGCTAAACCATTTCAGAGGCCAGTTTGTAGTCAACTACATGGAGTCACACATAGCTCAGAGCAGACAAGGATGGCAAATTTTCTTCCATAAAGGATGTGATTGAATGAGGTGGTTTTTTCCAAGAATCAATGATAGTTTCATGGTCACCATTCTAAGACTAACTTTCAATTCAATATTTAGTATTTGAATTTAAACTCCACCAGTTGCTGTACTGGGATTGAAAGCTAATGTCTGAGCTTAAATCAGTCTGTCCATAGTCTTCATATTACATCCGATCACGAGATGAACTTAAAATCTCATGTTCATGCCACATCTAACAGGTCTAGTGAAGAGTCATGTAGACTTGAAACATTAGCTTGCTCTCTCTTCATGGATGCTGCCTGACCCATTGTGATCTCCAGCGGTTTTGTTTCTAGATGAATAACTCCAGTTAAATTCAAGGAAGCCTCTTTGAAGCCTGCTTCTCTGGAGAAAGATCCTTATATTTGCCTGCAACATGGACTGTTCCTGTCCATAAACATCATCCTAATGACTCATCATGTACTTTAATGAAATTCTGTACCACCTATCTTCAGGCAACTGGGCATGAACTTTCTGAATTCTGCCAGTCATGTGGATAAACATTAACCATATTAGTGGTTCTTGTTATTCTGTATGGTAAACTCTTTCCTTCTTCCTTATAAGCTTGTATATGTGTGACAATCATTATCTGGATTAAAATGTATGAATAGACTATCCTTCTAATATAACCATAAAGAGAGTTGGCTGTGGCTCACTTTAACATTAGACTTCACAAAAGAGGGAAACATGTCACATCCTGTTTAAAAAGAGAAATAAAAATCAAAACACCTTTGCTTAGGGACTGAATGTGGAGAGAATAAAATTCTTTGTGTCCAGAAGTGGAGTTGATAAAGGTTACAGGGATCTTAGCTGTACTTTCTATTCAATGATAGTAAATACTAGCCATGTACAGGAAAAGAGTTACCTCTGCTGCTAGACAGAAATTATCACTTCGTCATCTTGTGATCCCTATCCATTATATCTCCCTCCGTGTGCCTTACTCTACCCATTATTTTGGAGCATATCATTTACATCTTATCTTATAACTTCCATGACTGAACTATTTAATAATTCCCTACTTCAATCATCACCATCATCATTTCAAAATCAATCACTGTGTTGCAGATCTCTGACCCTATCCACCCTCTTTGACTTCCCAAACTTGAGTGTACCTGGGGTACAATTAGCCCAGTTACACAATTGATTCAGCAAGGAAAGATTAAAAGCCAAAAGAAAATCTGTAACAGAAAAATGATATTGTTGGTATTGGCAGCAATTGTAGAGGGCAAACTATTTATTAACAATAAACAGCCACGGGCAGTCTATCTTGATATTGCTTAAATGCCTCAAAACTGATAAATGAATAGAATTGTGCCTTACATTTGCCATGTTTACACTGGCTGCTCTGCTGACTTAATACCAAGATTCAAAAGCGTGACAATGCACCTCATACACTATCTGGAAGTGCCGTAGCAGTCATTCTGAAAAAATATTGTTGGACTTCAATGCTTAACTGAAATGTACCTGCAATAAAGAGGCACCACAATTCAGAAACTGTAGTCCTGACTCAGCTGAATCAATCCCGCCAGCAGCTAGAATTGGAAATCCTGGTATGGCCTTACCGATAGCAGATACTGCTCGTAAAGCTATTGGCCTTATTGCAGTTCCTAAAAAGAAAGGTTAGGATATAAATAGGATAGTAATAACTCAAGCATTTAAAGTTTTTGGTTTATAATCTTTAATATATTATTTTTCCATTAAACTTATTGTTTTAAATGTTTATGCTGCATGCACAAATAACATTTATGTGAATTAATGCAGAAAAAATGTGAAAATAAAATTAATCTGTATCAAAAAATGATTTGATTTGCAAATTTTTTTAAACCAAAATGTTCTCTTGCATTTTTTTACAAGCAACCATATCATATTAGTACTCTATAAAGGATGAAAAAATGCAGTTACGACAATAATGCTGAGAGAAGTACTCTTACCCTAATTTACAAAAAGAATGATGCAATGTAAATGACTAATTAAGTTCAATACAATAATACATTTCCTAGAATTCTGCTTCTTAATACAAATTACAGCATGTGGCTTCATGTTTCACAGCAACAACAGCATAGGGTATAGAATGAGCTCTTAGAGAACAAACAGCAAAATTCTATCACGATCCATTTTAAATTGTTTTGGATGCACTTTACAGGATATCTGTTGCTGTGGGATTACTTAACTAATGTAATTTGTTATACTGCAATCAGAAGTTATCAATTTCAAGCAATGTATTCACATTTGGAGAAAAGATTTTCTTATATGACAATCAGCTTATTGCTTTAAGAACCATTCCACTCTTCAGATCTTCAGGTGTCCATTTTGGAAAGTCAGAATAATATGAAAGATGATGAGAGGTGTATGGGATCTAAATAGAGTGTGTGAAAATTTGCCAAGCCATTCTCTTGAAGTAACTGGCATCCTAAAATGCTGTTAGTATTCCAAAGATATAGTAAAACCTTATTTTGGGAGAGGTGTGAAAATAAGAATCAAAGACAGTTTTGATGTTTGGTTGGTGTCAAAGACGTATTGTTTGGCTGGCTGATCTTCCCTTGTCTAACCCAGAATGTAACCAATCTTTTAGGTGGATCCAATTACATTAAAGTCAGGAACTTCTTTAGAGCAGACGTAGGGACTGCTCTAGGGACTGAGCTATTTTTGATCTGTGTAAATGACTGGGCTGAAGGAACAGAGGCAAAGTTTTACCACCTTTTGTGAGGTAGTGAGAATAATGATGAACACGATGACACAACAGAGCAAGAGCCTGAAAGTCAGATTCTAGCAGTCAAGAAATAAGAATTATTGCACTAAATGTTTCCCTCCTGAGCTGGCACTGTAAGGTGGCAAGAATCTTACAAAGTAGTATTTACATCTCATTAATTACTCAATTCACCGTATTAATGTTTGTTCCCACCAACTTCTGCCCAATCGAGAAACTTGATGCTGCAAAAAACATAAGAGCGAAAACCAAACTGGTACCTGTTGAGTCGGGTTTCAGCCTCCAGACTGGGTGGGTTTATGGCTGTGCCAACTCTTCAGTTTAAATGGAACTGCTAAAACTGCAGTAGATGTCTCTATGGTCACTGGCATGATGTCTCCCTGGACTACCCAACCATGCAACTGGGCAATATTAGCAGCACACCAACATCAAAATATCAGATTGTGTCTTCACGTGCAGGCTCAGGTAATGGTTTTTCTCTGAGTTAACAGATTAGTGAGCAGAAGACAGCTAGCAGCTTCTGGTTACAGTTAGCGTGGTCTTTGGGAGTGAGGCAAGTCATTGACACTCTAGCCTTGATATGGAGAGGGTGTGGCGAAGGCATAGGGACCTTGATCATCACAGGCTCCAGGTTTAAAACAGGCTCATTAATGGTCATGTGAATGGACTCAATCAAAACAGAAAGAGGGTGAAGGGAGAGGCAGCAGCACAAAAGCCATTACAGAGGAGGAGATCTCTGGGGCAGAAGAAGCAGATCTATAGACTTAGTGCAGCTATCTGCAAATGTCTGACACCCATGCAGAGGGTGTGTCAGGATGTCTCGAGCCATCATGTCACACCTGTACCAGCTTCGGAACGAAGGATGCCAATTACATCCCTAAAGGTTACAGCTGCTCTTCATGTTTTTGGAAGTGGGTTGTTTCAGAGAGCTACTGATGCCCTCTTTGGCATTTCCCAGCCCTTTAGCTCATTGAAGCATCTGGGATGTCACTGATGCTTGCCAGAGCTCACCTATTCATCTTTTTCCCTCTTGATGTGGGAAGTCAGAAAGTGAGTGCATTAGGATTCTCAGCCGTCACTTGCTTTCCTGGAGGTGCAGGATGTAACTGGCTGTTGCCTTTACATAGCAACTAAAGCACAAAGGATTCCACTCCCTTAATGTTCAAATAACTTGCACCCATAACAGTCAGATAATGCATGACAATGTACATACAAGTAGCTGTCACAAATTATACATTCTGGCCATTTACTTGAAGTTTTATCTTAATTGGGACCACTTTGGGAGGAGCTTTGTCAACTTAGCTGTATCAATTCCTCATCCTCAGGCCGATTTATTTGTGAAGCCCTATTTTGAGGTAACTTTGCCCTTCGGCCTGGACGGTATGTGTTTCGCCCATTTTGATAGCCTTGTCTGGGACAAAATCTAAGACAAGTACAGCATGGATGTTCTTGTTCCTCGCTGTATTGTGGAGAAACCTTCTGTCCAGTTCTGGAAGTTTGTGGCCCCTGACTCCAATTGCCATCCTTGGTGACAAACAGGAGCCATAAGTATTATCTGCTGGGGACTTGCTCTGCAGTTTGGTGGTAATCCAGGATGGTACCATCCATGGACCCTTGAAGCTCCTGAGCCCCTTGTTCGGTGTTTGTGTGGGAAAGGGCCAGTTCTCTGGCCTTCTTGAAGTCCAAATCTCATTCAGTCAGTAGCTTCCTTTGAGTCACAATATTATTAATGCCACAAGTTGAGTGATAGTCTTAACATTTCCTGAAGTGCTCACTTGTACTCACAGTGTTCTGCCAAATTCCACAATCTCATCAAGAATTCAGTAACTGGTTCCCCAAGAAGTCTATTTACCATGTTAAACCTGTGATGCTGCAAAGTAACAGATAGTTTGGGGTCATAGTGGTCTGCTGTTTTATCAATCAGAGTGTTAAAAGATTTTGACTCCCAGGATTGCTGGTAGGTTAAACTCTTTGTGATTCTAAAAGTCAGGGCCCCACAAGCAGTCAGGAGAATGATTGTTTTTCATGATCCCCTTCTATCCTATTTGCCTGAGAAGAAGTATCTCACTCTTTCAGCATACTGCTGCCAATTCTCCACACCTGCATCATAAGGTTCCAGTCTCCCAAACATCGACATTTCCAATACTTCCCCATCATAGTTTTATCGCATTGTTGGAAGGCAACACTGTCCAAAATTATACTCTTGTTACCAATATAATAACTCAGTGAGCCCAACAGGGAAGGAACATCATTTATTGTTGAACATCAAATACAGCCATTTATCATGGCATGCAATGGCTAGTTCCAGCCTAGGACAGACAGTTCAGTAGACCCATCCCTAGGTCTCCTTTATTTATTGTCAAGGGAATCCATTGTGGATATTTTAAATCAATTTGACCAGATACATATATTACACATCTGGGGCAGGTGGGACTTGAACCCAGGATAGGTCTGTGTGGGAAGCTCTTCAGAGGGTGTGTGTGGATTCAATGGGCTGAATGGCTAGTTTCCATTCCGTTGGGATTCTCTGAACGTGAACATGTTTTCATGATCAAGCTAATTTTCATAATGTGAGCGAACTTCAGGCAAAGAAAACATACGCATTTGAAGCATGCCCTTCAGGAAGTCTTGTTCTGAGACAGAATTTAAATTTCCACAGAAGCTTAGAGGCCAGACTTGGTGACTTTTGAAATTTAGTAACACCAAGCTTTGAAGGAAATCTACGAAAGCCTAGATATTGCACTGAACAGTCCTTCCATGGTCATTCTGGCTTGAGTATGAGGGGACTGGGTGCCTTCCACTACTGGTCCATAGGGAAGAGTAAATAATCTCTGTGCACCACTCTGTACTTCTCTTCAGGGACGCTTGAACTGTTTTGAGTGACCTACTGAAAACTTCGCAACAAGTGAGACCCTTATTCTTTGGCAGTATTTAACATAAATAATATTTTTGAGCAGTCAAATGTGGCTACTCCTGGAAACTCTCAGTTCCCTAGAAATCAGGAGTTTCAAAGAATGCTGAATACTGATTGCAATTTTGGGAAAAGCAGAGAAGAAACCAAGAGGAGAATTTAATACTGTGGCAATACTGTGGTTTTAAGAGGTTATTTTGTCCCTTTTTTTTAAAGAGAGATTGAATGAGAGGTATGGAACTGTCTATAAAAGGTAAACAGCTTGTGAGGCCTTGGGTTTTTTAACAGTTGGAGCAATGGAGGCAGCCTGGATGGGTTTGGCCAGCTCTCACAGACCAGGCATTCTAGTTTTTTTAAAAACCAAAAGAACTGCGAATGCTGTAAATCAGGAACTGAGTTCTGAGGAAGGATCACTGGACCTGAAACGTTAACTCTGTTTTCTCCTTCACAGATGCTGCCAGACCTGCTGAGCTTTTCCAGCAACTTTGTTTTTGTTCTAGTTTTTTTTTTAGTTTTTAGGTTTAGCTTTGATCAGCTGCTGTTGTGGGCTCGGAGAAGTAGAAGCTATCTTTTCCCTCTCTCGGCTACAACTAGCAGCTTGGGGATTCTGTCTTCTGCTGAGTTACTTGTGAGACAAATCTATTTTTCTGAATTTTTCTTTTTGCCAAAAGGTGTGTTTATGGGATGTTGCTATATTGGAAGAATTAATCAGTAATAGTTACTGTATCTATTGTTCTGCTAAGTTTTCTAAGAGAGTTAGGTTATTTTAATTCCTCTTTGTTTGGTTGTGTTTTAACTGTAGGTTTAAAATAAATTGGGTTTTACTTTACATTGAGTAGTTTGACCGATCATGTTGCATCTACAGCATGTCACTTCACATTTGCCTTTAAAATAAGGAAACGTCAGAGTCTAGGCTACCTTTTTAAAATATTTTGAGGGGGTCTGGTCTGGTCCATAACAAAACCATCTCTAGTTGTGGGTTTGGTGTC